CGCCCGTCTGCGCGTCTGTCTGTCCCACCGTCCATCCGTCCGTTCTCCTGCCCGTCCGCTCGTCTACCCGTCCGTCCGTATGTCCATCTGTCTGTACGTCGTTCATGTATTTCTGGTTTTCATATAGGTAACAATTAAATATTATCGTGGTTTTAACTCATATTTCCCTTTTCCAGCAAATAAAAAAAATCAGTTTTTTAGCAGGTAAACCCTCGAGCCCTAGTCAGTATCGCTGCATTTGTTTCCCGTGCTGGTGTGCGTAGGCGCGGGCGAGGCGCTACGCCCTGCAGGGCACGCGGTGGCGGGTGCGCGACCTCTGGTGGCGCGTGTCGCTCTACCCGGACGCGCCCGACCTGCCCCGCGACGCCGTCGACGCCGCCCTGCGACGGGCCTTCCAGGTCGGCCAGCACGCGCGCATTACGCCGGCTCCCGCACTGCTACGGGCGCCAGCCCCGCGAGGGTGGTGCATGGTCAATTGCGGAACGGGGCGCTGCTCCTCCCCTCGCTCGAAAGTGGGATCTGCTGGCGACACACGTCGGATGCCCTCCAGTTATCTTCCCCCAACCGGACTCCTCAACCAGAACAAGCTGGAAGCTCCCTGGTGGTCTTCCACACGCAAGGGGTGCGGATAGGGCAAGGAAGAGGAAGGGAAGATCGCGCGTGGTCCGTTTGGTAGGGAAAACAACGGAAAACTACGGTTCAGAGCTGCCAGCCGCTATAATTGTCTTCCCCTCAAGCCGGCGTGTAGGTCGTCCTCGGACCTCCCCTTCAGCGGTGGACGAACAGCACCCCCTTCCGGATTATACCATGCACTACAAGCGCGGGGCTGAGGTGCGCGGCGTTGACGGGTGTGTCGTGGGGGCAGCAGCTGTGGGCGTCGGCGGCGGACCTGCGTTTCCACCAGGCGGAGGCGGCGGGGGAGGCGGCGGGGCGGCGCGTGCACATCGACGTGCGCTGGGAGCGCGGCGCGCACGGCGACTGGGACGATTTCGACGGGCGCGGCGGCGTCCTGGCGCACGCCAACTACCCGTCCTTCGGCGGCGCCGTGCACCTCGACGCCGACGAGCGCTGGGCGCTGGACGACGCCCCGCCCCCCGCGCACGACGCACGTGAGCCCCGCGCGACTGCTGCCCTGGCAAGGGATCGGGCCGTCTTCTGCGCCCGCCCTCCTCATTGTTCCCCCGACCGTCCTCACCCACTGGCCGCCGCCGTCACTGTCCTCACTGCCCATCCTCCCTCCTCGTCCTCACTGCCCGTCCTCACTATCCGTCCTCACTGTCCGTCCTCACGCCCCGTCCTCGCTGCCCTTTTTCAATGCCCGTTCATCCTGGCCTATCTCACTACGCGTTCTGACTGCCTGTCTTCAACGCTTGTCTTCCATGCCCGTGCTCTCTGCGTGACATAATACCAACTTCTTATGTTGCAAACTGCAAAACTAATTTGGAAATTATCTCCAAAATTAATTTTGTTTTTTAATAAAGGTTTAGTTCGGTTATTCAAAAAAAGCGTATGTAACTCATTTACAATTTTGCTTTACAAATTCATTTTTTCGTACAAACTTGAAAACTTGTTTCTAACGTCCCTCATTTTCAAGTTATGTACTTACGCAATAAAGCATAACATTACGAACTATAACATACTAATTCTTTGTTCTATTCAAACTGGGGAACAAGCTGAGGTTTGTCTCATGAAATGCATTACCATGCGTGACGTCATACCATCGTCGTATGCTTCTCGTAAAAGGTGTCAAAGACAGCTTGTGTGAACATGGTCCTGCCTAGGGTTCATGTGTCATACCAAGAGAAGACAGGTGGTTTTGTGTGAAGGACCGTACCCGACGTTCACATGTGTGATAGTGGTATGAAAAGGTGGTTGTACATAAATATCACAGCCCTCTGTTCATGTACGGTGGCAAGCGAGAAGGAGTGGTCCTGTGTGAAGATTCCAGCCTCGTGTACATGTGTGGTCGAAACGTGAATGGGTGGTTCACTGAGAATGGTCCAGTGTGATGTTCACGTGTGGTGGAAGGCGTGGTTGTGTTTTAGAGGGTGGTTGTGTACATTTGCATGTTTGTGTGCTGGGTGGTTGTGTATTTACGACCCAGATTGTTGTACATGTATGGAGACAGGAGAGAAGATATTGAGTGCGAAACCACAATCTGGTGATGTGTGCGCAATGCGAGGTGTAGCCTGGCGTACATGTGTTTTAAAGAAGGTGAAGATGTGGTCAGGGAAGAGCTCAACCTTGTGTTCATGTGCAGTTGTAGACGTGAAAAGGTGGATGTATATAAAGTGCCCAGCCACCTGTACATGTTTCGTGGAAGGCGCGAAGAGAAGGTTGTGTGGTATTCATATGTTGTAGTACGGGTGAAAGGGTAGTTGTATTTGAATGTACAGCCTGGCATTCATGTGTGGAGCAAGATGTGAAGACAAGGTAGCGTGTGAAGTACTACGTCTGGTAAATCGTGTTTGGTGGAAGTGAAGGGGTGATTGCCTGTGATCCTGGTTCTTGTGTTTGATGGAAAAAGTTAGTAGGTGGTTGTGTGTGAAGGACGCAGCTAGAAGTTCATGTGTAGTGGAAGGTGTTAAGATGTGAAAGCTCCTGGTACATTTCCAAGTTCCTGGTACATTTTCAAAATTTTCTCGAAAATGGCTTCAAATTTTTCTTTAAATTTCTTATAATAATAGAGTAAAATGTAGTTATAAATGTGGAATAGGTCCGATTTTCATGGTTAACTTAGTTTTCGAAAATTTCAAAAGTTTGAATTTTTTCAGCGTTTTTCTAAAACGAAATGAAAGATAAAGATTTTTTCTTCAAATACAATTTGTTGTCCATCATTTGTTCTTTCATTAAGGTCATGTACATTTTTTCGAAAGTTTAGTAGTTTTCGCGCAATGTGTGCAATTGAAAAAAATTCAAAAATAAGATTTTCTAAAAGACTGCTCAAAATTTTTTCTTTACACTTTTGGCGGGGATTGTGCCAAATGCACTCTACAAGATGACATAAACGCTGTATTTTGAGATTAGATCAACAATAGCGAGGATGCGGTGTGTACTTATTTCTTTGGCAGGTGTTGCATTGATTGATAATGTTGGGAATCCGTTCCCTCAGGTGGGCCAGTAGAATCTAATCTGTAGGTGTTCTACTGTTTGTACGATACCGTTGTGGTTGTGATGGTGTGGTATTGTGATGCTATTGCTGTTTTCGGGTTTGTGGATTATCTCCATCTTCTAATACTTTTTGGCATCTGATGATTATTAGCTCTGATGTAGTCTTTGAAAACAACAAATGAAGGGTATTTTAAGGGACAGATCCTCGAAGTGGGCTGCATACTTGTTCGAGGGAGGATAGTCTCGAGATCTTTGTTAGTGGCGTCGCAAGTGACGATTATTGTATACTGATTGTTCTTAAAAAAAATGTTCAATAATTTTTGGCGACTTTCCGTATTTTACAACAATTTGGTTTCTATTCATGTTCAAATTTCGTTCCGACATTTTCAAGGTAAAGATCGAGATTTCATGATTTGAATAGACTGTTTGGTTGACGAATTCATTAAGGAATTCGTGATCTCCATCGGTAGCAATAAGGGAATTTGTTTCATCATTCGTATTTAATTCTATCCGCGACAGGGCATCAGCGACAAAATTTGTATTTCGTACGTTCTTTACGTATTTGTACTTATACGTACTTTATGGTAAAATCAAACTTTCCAATTTTTAATTTCCATCTGTAAAGTCGAGAACTTGGGTCTTTTAATGAGGAGAGCCTTTGTAATGTGACCGCATTTGATCTGAAAATGCCGCCCCCATAAATACGGCCTGAAATGTTTACAGAAGTCCACAATAGCAAACAGTTCTCGATCAATAGTGGAAACTTTTCTTTCAGTGGGATTGAGGCTCCGCGAATACTAGCTAATCGGGTGCTCTCCTTGCAGAGAACGCTCCCGATGGCGTAGCCTGAGCTATCGGAAGTAACGGCTTGTCAAAATCTGCATAGTTGAATACTAGGACATTGGTTAGAAGGGTTTTTAGGTTTTCAAAAGCAGTTTTGTATTCTTCGTTTTCAGTATCAATGATTGATTCTTTCTTTAGGCATCTTGTTAAAGGCTGTGCAATCTTGGGGAAATCTTAAATAAACTTTCTACAAAACCCTGCTAACCAAAGAAATTGCTTAATTTCTTAAACGGTCTTGGGCTGGGGCCTGATCATGTCTGAATTTGGTCGCAAACCTTCCCTAGAAACAATGTGGCCACTTCTTGATGTAAAAACTCTGTCTTATCTAAGTGAATTTTGAAGTTTGCTTCTCTGTAAAACTAACGAGAGATGAAGGTGCTCTTCAAGAGGCCTTTTGAAAACAATTATGTCGTGGTAATAAACATAATTTATAAATATAGGGGCACAGGACGTTGTCCATCACGCGCTGGAATCTAAGGTAAGGGAATATCTATTGTTGACAGTAAAATCAGTTTTTTCTATTGATGTATCATCTAGTGAACACTTGAGCGAGGTGTAACGTGCTGAAGTATTGGCTCTTACCGAGGTTGCTGAGTATCTCCTCGATTTTGGGACAGGGTATTTATCTTAAATAGTTTTTTGATTTAGAGTCTTAAAATCTACCACAAATCGTCATTTCTTTTGCCCCGAAGCGTCGAGCTTCTTTGGCAGCATGTACACGGGTTTTGCTTGGGTGAGAGGTAACACTAAAGGTAACTACGCCCCGCTGTAACAGTTTCTCTACTTCTTGATTGATATTTTCCTTCAGGTGAGTGTGGTAGCGAAAGCATTTGTGGTATTCCGTCTCTTCATCCGCAGTTTGAATGTAGTGCTTAACCGTGTGTGTGAAGGAGAGATCACGAGCAGGGTAGTAAAATATATCTGAGTATTTGGAACACAATTTTGTATTGGATTCTCATTCATTAATATGTTGGGGGCGAAGGTATTCACTGTCATCCTTATTGGTAATAGAATTCATCTCTCAACTTTGAACATTTACACTGTCGAGCGGTTCGGCGAGTACCAGTTGCACAAAATCTGACTGCAATCTGGCGGGGTAAGTGATCTAGTAATTTTCAGCCCGCAAGATGGCGTCGGAAAAATAAGTTCCATTGGGTTTTAAGTGAGGCACATATATATCACCCTGCCGTATTTTTACTGGAATTTTTTGGAGTGTAAATTTGTGTTTTCTTGAACCATATGTTTGTATGGTGAATACATGTAAAATGGTATTACTCTATCTCCCAAGGTAACTGTATTTTCATTATAGTCATTTTGGATTTTAATTTGACAAAATCTGCCTTGCCAATGAAGGCAATATCGATGTAATTTCATTACCCTGATATATACTAGAGTTCCTATATCATATTCCGAAAAAAATGGGAATTGCGCATTATTATCTCCTACGGTTTGGGCGTGCAGCGACTGAATGCAAAACGACTCCGTAAGGAGGAAAAATCGAGTCGGCGACGTCTGTATTCATCACTGAATTATACGAGCCACTGTTAATGAGAATGTTTAGTCCATGTAAAAGTGATAAAAGGAAGCTGTGACGCGTTATATTTACTGGTCAGGTCTTCGGTCGTGACGACTGAGCCATGTGAAAAAATGCTAGTAACATGCATTTACATCTGATTGTGCAATTGACAAATAGTTTTGGTCACTATCTGGGTAATACCCATATTCATTGTCAGTTTCATGCGAGTCTTCCGTGTTTTCGGAAACACTAGGCAAATACGAGAATTCGGCTTCTGCTTCATGGTGGGTGTTCAGATTTCTTCTGATTATAGAAACGCCTGACATCGGACTTGGGAGGCTGGACGGGGCGAATCGCCTTCCTCTGTTGTTGGGAGTTGGATAAAGGTGTGAGCCCTGGCCTCGGTGGCTGTGTGAACTGACTGGTCGCGAAGTTTGTGCGGCTTGCCGCGCATCCAGTGGATGGTTATACCGGGCGCATGAGGAGAGATCACCCGATTCTGATTACTGAACGTTTGAGAAATTTCCACGCGTTCCTTTCAAATTTGATTTTATAGCATTGAAAAAATAGTTAATTAGTTCAGTTTGGGGTGCTCCATCAGATCTTTGAAAATTTCTCAAATATGCACCGCTTCTGGTTAGAAAATATTCTAGACTACATGATGCGGTGCTGCATGATCGAATTCTGACAACAACTAGATACGTGCATACTGAAATTTGGTAATTAAGTCGGAGTAGACCATTTATGAAGCGAATTTACGTTTCAATTTAACAGACGCTCTATTAAATGAATAAACTTAGTTCGAACTTGGATTTTCAAATAAATCCTAAGAGATTGAATATAAATAAATAAATAAATAAATAAATAAATAAATAAATAAATAAATAAATAAATAAATAAATAATCTTTATTGGTTCAGGCCATTTAGCCTACTCGTCCGCCTGACCACTTACAAATAACTTTTAACACAATAGTAAATGAAAAGAAGGTCATTCAAACAGAAATACGTAGGCAATTTGGATGGGGGGGGGTTCACATTGAAGACAGGAATAAAACCGAGGCAGGAAGGAGTAGAAAGAAAAGGAAATACTCTCACATAATTTGTGGGATTACATTAATTAATTAATTAATTTCAAGTTAGGGTTGTATGAAAGTTAATCAAAAATATATTAGCTTGAACGCTACGAGAATTTACTCAAATTTAGAAAAAAAAATATTCTAACTCACCAAGTTAGATTGGAAGAATCTAGTATAAGTAAGTGAAAGGTTCATAAGTAACTTCACCGAATTTCACCGAATATCCACGAAGCTGTGAGACGTGTCACGCGTGACGTCTTTTGTGGTTATGTCTATTTACTAGTACATTTAACAATTCCGTAAATACTACTACTTTACCATTAATCGAGATTTCATTTTGAACAAGATTCCATAGAACCGAAAAATTTAGCAGAAACAAAGGAATTTGCGTCGAAGTTCTTATAATCTCGATATTTTATTATTTTCGGTGTGTGTTTGGAACACTTTAGATTATACGATACTACGATACGTAGATAAGATCATGTTTTGATACTCCTGGAACAGAAAATTGTCCATGAGAACGCGCTCTTTAAGCAATAAAAGGCAAACAGTGATAACGCAAATTGCACTGTTTTCACTGTTCAGACTAATGAAGATATTCTGATAGTTATTTCACTCACAGGTTTGAAAATATGATCAGCAGGTGTTAGAGTTGGCGCCAGGATGAAGATTCAGGTGCCGACTTGGCACCGCACGGGGAAGCGACTCATGGTTCTGAGTTTGCGCTAGGGGGAGAGTCGGGCGCCGTTCGGGTTGATGGCTCATGGTTCTGAGCTGGCGTGTGGGTGCTGGGCGCCGCTCAGTTGCCGTACGGGGGGCGAAGGGCTCGGGCAGTTAACAGTGTCAATTCTGGTATGCTCTTGCTGTCGGTGACGTGTCGTGCCAATATGACTCGTGAACAGGTGGTTAAAAGTGAAGCGTTCAGCTTTGATTTCATGTTATCTGGAAGACTGATTGACATTTGTTTAGGTCTCCGCCTGATGTTCGTTTAACATGGATGGCGTGATGCGGTGGTGAATGTGAAGGATTTAACTTTGTGATTATATGTGGTGGAAGGCGTGAAGGGGTGATTTTGAAAAGAACTGCGCCTAATGTTGGAGTTTGGTGGAATATATATGAATGGTGATTGTGTGAAGCGATTCAGCTGGTGATCGTTGTGGGGTGGCAGGCATGAAGGGGCGGATGTGTCTGAACGGCTGTACCTGGTGATCGTGTGTGATGGCAGGCGTGAGAGATGTGTGAAGGCTCTGTCTAGTGTTCGGGTGTGATGGCAGGCGTGAACGGCTGGTGCTGTGTGAAGGGCTGTACCTGGTGATCGTGTGTGAGGGCAGGCGTGAGGGATGTGTGAAGGCTCTGTCTGGTGTTCGGGTGTGGTGGCAGGCGTGAACGGGTGGTGGTGTGCGAAGGGCCCAGCTTGGTGTACATCGCGGCGCACGAGATCGGCCACGCGCTGGGCGTGGCGCACTCCAACGTGAGCGGGGCGCTGATGGCGCCGCTGTACGGGGCCAAGGCGCGCTCGCGGGCGAGGGCGCGGGCGCGGGGGCGGGAGGTGCTGGAACGCCTGCCCGAGGACGACGCGGCTGCCGCCGCCG